ATATAATTGATCACATCACACAGCTACTTCGCCAATAAATTCAGCATTACTAGCCTGGATTTATCCAAAATTTTAAATTTTTTAGCTAAGAATTTTACCTATTTTTAGGCATCTTTGCTTTCTGGTCATGCTTAGCTCAGTCAATAGTGCAAGTACTTAGCTTTCTTTCTTAGGCCATTATCCTCAGAGAGTAAGTTTCATTCTTTTGTGCTGGGGATTGAATCCAGAACTTGGTTTGGCTAAGCACTTAGTGAACTATATCCCTACATCTTCTCTCCTGATTTTTAAATGCTTCTTTAAAATACTTATATGTAGTATGGAAATCACAGTAAAGCCACCTGACCTGCAGAGACTGGGTAGTTGGCTGAGGTCTCTCACTTATCAATAGGCAAAATTTATATCTTGGAAAATGAGTAAATGAGTTTTATGGGTCATGGACCTTCAGTGTAGCTGGAGAACAGTTGAAATCTTTAAGTGGCATGTGTGATGTTGAACCTTTTTTTGAACTATTTTTATTGTCAATGAATTTACTTATCTATCTAGAGAATTGCATCTGGTGCTTCACAAATGCTAGGCAAGTGCTCATCCACTGAGCCACAACTACAGCCCATGGTTGAAGCTTTTATTGTGATATCTGGGAGGATCCTGTTGGCTGTCCTCCTGCCTCATGACTTTAGGTCCCTTTGCAGTTCCGTGTTTCACTGGTGGGTGGGTATTCTCTCATTGTAGGGATTTAAAATTTCTTCCCATTTGTTAATTTATTCTTCTCACCATGTAACTCTTCTTATTACATTTTCCTTGGGTTTGAGTATGGGAACCTCTTTAAGAAAGTCTTTAGTCTGTTTTGATCTGAGCAATATCCAATGAATATTTGTTCACTACAATTCATTTTCCTTTGAGCATTATGTGGTTTCATAGACTCTATTTTCTGACTTTTGAGGTATAAGATGAACTTCTGGTTACTATTTTTAGATTACCCTATACTTGGGCCTTCAAGTGATATTTTTTCCAATGTGCTCCTAGGTGGGTGAGTTGAGGGGAAAAAATAGTTTCAACAGAGACATTGTCCTGGGGCAGAGTCTCCTGCATTTCTTGGCCTTAGGCCTAACCACAACAGCTACAGGAGCACTCCCTTTTTCAGGAGTGAGGCTGTCAAGGAAAGTTCAGCAATGGATAAGAAAATAGCTTTTCAGAACATTATGGTATCTAATTTTTAAAAAATGGAATTGAAGTCTACTTTTCACAGGTTGCTTTGGAGGAGGTGGATGACTACATTCTAGGTCCTAGAAGAAGACTGTCATGAATGAATGGCAGCTTATCCCATTTATGCATTCTTTATTGATAACCTGGTTGAATTTTTGGTGTAAGACTGAGAGAAGTAGTAGAGCAAACCACTCCAAGGCTTTGCAGCAGAAGCTAAAGAGAAGAATCTTAAGAGGTATTTTTATATGTGTATTCTGATCAATAAGTTGCCTTCTTTCAAAATTGAATAGCTTAATGTTAATGATATATGGTATAAGTAATTCATTTTCAAAAGAGGCACAGCAAGTAGGATATTTATAGGTTACCTGGTGAGTACAGAGAGGATTCTAATACTGGACTTCATTATATTTTTTTAGATTCTTTAAGTTGTGATGGACTTTTACTTTTTATTTATTCATTTATATGCAATGCTGAGAATTATCCAGTACCTCACACTTGCTAGGCAAGTGCTCCCCCGAGCTACAACCCCCACCCCTGGACTTAATTATTAATGTCTGTCATTCAGATGACTAAAAGTAGTCATGAAAATCAGGAATGTTTATGTAACATTTAACTTAAGAGAGATTTTTCCCAAGGACAATGCTTGATGTTTTTAATCAGCTGGTGCTGCTGCCTTTCACAGTGTTTTTGAACCTAAGTGAAGTAGACGTTATAAGGATTGAACAGTCTCCTTCCATTTTGGAAAAGCCCCCCCCCCCCCCCCCCATGTAGTCCCAGGCAGGAATGTGGACACTTCTTAATGATGTTGTATTTTCAAGTTATTTACTGCAGCTTCATTTTATTAGGTAATTTCTCCAAAAATATATTTTACTTCATTGTTCTTTACTGTAATATTGGTGTTCCCTGACCAGTGCATTTTTTTAGAAAATTTTTCTAAAAACTTTGACACTTGAAGTGAAATGCACATAGAGTGTAGCAGGACCTTACTGGACCTTTTCCTTTATTCTCTCTCTAAATGCTGTTTTCTATTGCTCATCACAAACTCATTCATATAACATTAATAACAAACTCACAACAACTCACAATGATGTAAACTCATTCACATAAGCCCATCATATTATTTTAAACTCATTGATCACCCAGTTAAACCTCTAGGGGATAGTTTGACATTCTATGTTTGCATTTAACTTTTTCCTTTTCTCTCTTCCTTTTTTTTTCTTTTTATGCTGACTGAAGCAAAATTGGTACCTATCAATCAGCAGAAGTTGGAAGCAGTGCCTTAGAAGTGGTTGGAAAGATTCCCTGCTCTCTGGGATTTTAGGATGGAGGAGCAGGACAGTACTGGTGCCCTGGCAGTGGTGAGGGGATGTGAGCCATGCTGGGAAGTGGTGCAGATTTTGGGGTCAGGCAGAGTCTGGGAAATCCCTCTGATCAAGGTTGGGGTGGGCTTCCTGGCATCTAGTGGGGGCAGAGAGGAGGAAGAGACAGGCAAGTAAGTACTCCAAGAAGAGGACTGAGGTAAGAAGTCATGAGCTGTGGCAGCCCAAGGAGCCAGAGTCCTTAGAGTGTCTCTCATGACTGTATTCTAGGTCAGCATTTCCAGAGGTTTTATGGAGTATCAGTTTTAAAACTGCTTGCCATTACACAAAGTGTTCTTAGACTTGTACCTAATCTTTAAAAAAATGGTAGAAAGCCTGGCATGGTGGTACACCCCCATCACCCAAGTGAATTGGGATGCTGAGGCAGGCAGACTATGAGTTTGACGCCAGCCAGCCTCAGGAACTTAGTGAGAACTTGTGTTTTAAAAAAGCCTGAGAGTGAATGAAGCTCAGTGGTTAAATGCCCTGACGTTCAATACCCAGCAGGAAAAAAAAAGAAAAAAAGAAAAATAATGGTAGGGGGTGATTGGCCTTCTCTTTCATTATATGTTGAAACTTTTTAATATAAAAGATCAATAAGTACTCCCGCTTCTGCAGAAGGAGGTAGCACATTTACCTGGTGACCCATTTCTACCTTCACCCCACCATACACTGGAATAGACATTTTGAGACCTAGAGTAGAAGATTCACAAATAGCATCTTTGTAAACATGTAAAGTCTTGTTTTAAGGAATATGGATTTAATCCTAAAGTATTTATTTGATTGCCTGTTTAAGAACTTTGATTGAATTGGGTTAGTATTTGGAATACAAATAGGACTCCTACTCTGGGTGGGACCTTTCTTTGAGAAAGCAAGTCAAATGTGATTGAGTAGATGGATCCAGCTATAAGCAGAATGGGAATGAGAGTGGATGAGTTTGAAGACAAGCCTCATAATTACATAAGTGTACTTATTAACTCAAATATTTACAGAAGACTGTGTGTTAGTCAACTTTCTACTTTCAATTACTTTAGTGAAGTACTTGAGATTAGCAGCTAATAAAGAGAAAAGGTTTATTTTGGTGGCTCACATTTTCTGAGGTTCATTTGTTTCTGTTGCTTTGGGTCTGTGGTACCTCATGGTGGGAATGCGTAGTGGCACAAAACCATTCACTTTATTTTCAAGAAGAAGAAGAATAAAGTAAAGAAGGATCCAGGTTCCATAATCCTTCCCAAGGGCACACCTCCCATTACCCAATGACTTAAAGACCTCCCCCAGGCTCCACCTCTGAAAGGCTCTAACATCTCCTACTAGCGCCACTTGGGGATTAAGCCTTCCACAAGTGGACACTTTAGGGACACTCATCTACACTATAGCACAGTGTGAATCATATATTGCTCTTATCCCCATTATAACTGAGGCAAAGAGAGTTCAAAGCCCAAAATGGGTCATTTTGAGCCAGAAAATCAAAGCCTATGCCAGAGCCAGTTTTCTAAGTGCTACACCATAATACCTTACTCAGAGGACCTTGAGATGAGGGTCCACTTTTGCTTGAATCACCCTTCAGAGGCTACAGATAGTTGCTATCAGTTACCCTTTCAAAATTCACTTTTTTGGGGGTTGGAGAACTGCAGGGGGAAAGCAGTGGAAATGCTGTTTGGGGTTAGTCAGTAATGCAATTCCTCCCACCAGGTGGAAATTTTTTGATGAATTTATGCTTAGATGAAGGCAGGTGGGAAGTCATCACTCAGGGAAAGATCCCCGGGCTCCAGGATGTGCTCCAGGATCCAGAATGTGCCCAGCAGTACCCATGCGGGACTCTTGTCAGGCCACTTATGAGCTTCCAGCCTTTTACTCAATAACCTTGTCTGAGATAGAAAATGGAACCTAACACGTGGAAGACCCACACTCCTTTCTTGAAAAATTATAGATGCTTCACATTCCAGAACCATCCCTCTGCTCTAGTCCTGTTAGAGTGAGTGGTTCCAAGATGGGTCAGTGGGGATGAGAATATGGCAAGGACCAAAAGGGGACCAGTATGCAGTGCACAAACATAGGCAGATCTCCTCTGCCCAAAATGACAAAATGCCCTTTACTCTGCTTCTCCATTTCCCTGCCCCCAAATGCTAGATGCAGTGATGGTTCACTTACGGCCTCACTGTACCTCACTGTACTAGGCCTCAACATCTAGAGTGCATTTTGTACTGAGCACATCTCAGTGTGGACCAGTCAGTCACACTTGAAGCCCCTGGTGGCCGCAGGTGGTGAGTGTCTGCCATGTCCATAGCCTGGCACTGAATGGTGGTTCTTTACCACCCACCCCCTGTTCTCTTTCAACTTCTCAAGGTTCTCCCACTGTTCAAGTAAAACACCTCCAGAGAGTAATCCCCTGCCCTCCCTCACTGCCCACACATTCTCTCTTGGGAGACACCACTCACAAGCACACTACCAGCCCAGGGCCTTAACTCCATCTTACTATCTCAAATTCTACTTCTCCAAAAATCTTCATCTAAGACTGGCTTCTCTGCTTTAAAACCTGCGCCCTCCTACCCACACTGGTTTCTAATGTTTACTGTAATTCTGTAAAGCAGTTAAGAAGTCTGTCTATGTGGGCAAAAAGTTTTGAACACCAAGAACCCATGGGCTGAGTGTATATTGGAAGTTGAACGACACTTGTAAGAAAAGCCCAGCATATTTAACAATGTGCATAGTTCTTACAGGCACCCAGGTGATTATGTTTATACAGCTAATCATGAACATTAAACTTGTTATTGCTTTTATTCATGGGCAGAGCAAGCATTTTCATAGCAAATGGAAAGGTACGGGAGGGGCAACCCATGCTTGGTCCCCTCCTACTTCTCAGAGAAGGTGGAGATTTGTTCCCTCTACCCTCTCTGAAGTTTTTTGGTGCCTTCACTGTTCCAAGTTTTCCTGCCTCAGGAATAGTGCTTTGGTTTTGGTCAGACATCTCCTGATGTGCTGGTCCCTTCTCAGTTCACTATAGGAAAAATGAAAAGCTGATTTATGGCTTGATAAAAGATAAAGGTATCTGCCTATTTCATGCTCTGCACCCATGCAGAAAGCATGGAACAAGCCTGCTGGAAGGGCCTTGGCCTTCTTGGACCATGACTTCCAAGCAGAAATGATTTTTTTAAGAGAGCTGGATGGCCCAGTGGTGAATAATAGAAGAGCCTGGAATTCATGTGGCCCTTTTCTATGCATTACTTCTGTTTTAGTCAGCTTTTTTGTCATTGAAGCAAAAAGACCCAAGAAGAACAACATAGAGGAGGAAACATTTTTTGTCACTCATGGTTTCAGAAGCCTCAGTCCATTACTCTTGATGAGGCAGAACAGCATGGCAGAAGAGTGTGGTAGAGGAAAGTGACTCAGGACATATCAATCTGGAAGCAGAGAGAGAGAGAGAGAGAGCTCCACTCACCAGGTACAAAACATATACATGAAAGGTACAACTTCTGTGACCCACCTGCTCCATCCACAATCTACCCCACCTATTGTCACCACCAACTTGATTCATTCAAGTTGATCAATCATTGATTAGGTCAATGGCCTCATAACCCAATTATTTCAATTCTACACTTTCTTGCATTCTCTCACACATGGGATTTGGGGGAATACTTCATACCTAAATCATGTTAAATTCATATTTTAAAAGTAGGCATTTCACTGAGTTATCTTTCCATAAAAACTACTCAAGGGTGCTGTTGCCATTTATGTTCATTCTTAGCATGATTTGTGGAATCAGAACCTCGATGGTTTATTGTGGCTCAAAGCCTCGCCAGAGTAGAGCGCCCATCCTGCTGATGTGCCTGTCAGGCCTGTACAGGTGTAAGTCTTTTCCTTAACCACCAAGATGTACCTGGGCAGGTATGCAGCAGGGATGTGGGTTCAAGACACAGACACTGGGAGCTGGTGAGAGCAGGCAGGTGGCAGACCTCCAGCAAGCTTGTTTATTGCAGAAGAGGTTACAACTGATATAGGGCATCCTACAATCACACATAAGCAAGCAGGGTACCTAACATTTAGAAACCAATCATCTTACGATCAACATAACTGGACTATGAGGAAGCTCTAAAATCTGCCACAGAGTGGAAGGCTATCAGGAAGGGGTCCTTAAATTAAGGAAGATCAGACCCTAAGGCTCTTGCCTCTCAGTTGTCTAGCAACATTGACGTCAATCACTGAGGAAGTGGTTTTACCTCAAAGGCTCCCCAGAGCAGAGTGCCTCATCCTACAGGTGTGCCTGTCAGGCCTGTACAGGTGTAGGTCTTCCTAATGCCTTGAGCTGCTAGCTGCTGACTGCAAGCCAAGAGTTATTCCCACAGTTTATAAATTTGTTTCTGCATAGCATCATAGTAGAGAACATATAATTCATATCAATTTAAAAGTGATATCTACAGATATTAAGATAATGTTTATAGTGGCTTTTTTCTTAATTGGAATGTTTTATAAAAATTTGGCCATCTCAGCTACAGTGAAGAAACTGGCTTGGTGGGAAGAACAGGACCTCTGGAGTCGGAATTATATATGATTAATTCTTGGTTTCATTGTTAGGGAAGTTACTTTAATCCTTCTGAGTCCCTTCCCTTTTAAATAAAATAAAATTGATGCCATCAAAGAAAATTCTATGCTTGTTCAGTGTGAGTTTCCCTCCTGCTGATCCTGAAGGTTGGAAATGGAGGGACACAGTGAGGAAGAGCAATGTATTGAAGCTAAAAAACACTATGCACAAGGTTGCATGGATGCCCCTGTGGTTGACATTGAAGTGGGCATTCAGGGCACAAGGTTCTCCATGAAAGCTAGCTTCCACCTGCATCATCATTCTAGAATAGTTTTTCTTTCTCTTGCAGAGGTCTTAGACTTCAAATAAACTTTTGTGAAGAATTTGTGTGGATGCTAATCCACAACAAGGGACGCTGGGGAGGGGAAGAATAGAAGTTTTTGGATTAGACAAAGGAGAAAAAAAGGAAGAGGGGTAGGAGAGGAATACGAAAGACAGTAGAATGTATCAAACATAACTTTCCCATCATTATATTTAAATACATGACCAGGGTAACTCTTTATCATGTATAACCAAAATAATAGGATCCTAATTAGAAGTTACACTTCATGTATGTATAATATGACAAAAATATATTCTACTGTCATGTATAGCTAAAAAGACCAAATTTAAAAAAAAAAGTGAGACATCCAACATGGCGGCGGGCGCGGAGAGATCAAGTCTCTGACCTCTTCAGCTGCGCCAGCATAGGGAGTCTTAAACGGTCTAAATGCTGTTTGCTCAGGATCACTAGGCAATGCTGAGCTAACGTGGATCTGGGGTGAACAGTCTGCGCCTCTCAGAACACACACCGAGCCCTGATCGGCTGAATTCAGGCTCCCATTTGCCTGTGTCTCGCAGACAAACCACTGTGACTCAGTGCTAAACGATCCCGCTGAAACAACTTGTAGGCCCTTCTGAACCTACGGAGGTTAATACCAACCGAGCCTTCATAAGCAGTGGCCACAGGATTGAGACGGGGCTTGGGAGAGCCGGTCAAGACCCACCCGTTGCATCGTTCACCCAGCAAAGGGAACGAACTGTCACCATTTGCATGGGATACCACCATGGCAGAGAACTGACATCACCAGAATGTGGCGGAGGAGATAACTTCATTGAAATCAGTGGCGGCAGGTGTGCAACCCCCTAGCCCTCCCTCTCCACACAGCGGGGAAACCTCAAGGGCCCCTCCCAGCTCTCCCTTGAGTGAAATAGTCAGACCCGCGGCACGGACCCCTGGCTACCGCTCCCACCAGCGCTGACAACTGAGGTCTCTTGCACCAGCTCCCAGGGGCGTGGCTACCGGAGGGCAAGCAAAATATGCTGAGGGGTCTCAGCCCCAAGCTCCACAACCTTAGGGTCTGAGGGAATGGCAAGCAGGGAGAGTGTGCCCAGTCGCTCAAGAAAATAGGGCTCCCGGGAGCAGCAGACCAGGCGTGTAGCCAGTATTGTGGTGAGCGTCACTGGTGAGCGGGGCCTGGCTGGAGGAAAAGTGGGGAAGTGACTAGACACAAGAAAAGGCCCTAGGCACTCAGGATTGGAGACCTGCCCAGTCGGGGAGGAGGAACTGCTTCACAGTGATTGGTTCCTGCATATTGAGAGGAGAAGCTTGGCCCGGTGGGCACAGCTCCACCTACTGGAAGAGAAGTTAATTGAACTCTAAGACTGCATTTTTAAATTTTTTTTATTAATTGTTTTTTTTTAAATTTTTTTTAAAACTTTTTAATTATTTTTTTATTTTTATTTTTATTTTTTTTGATTTTTAAAAATTTTTTTCTTTTCTATTTTTTTTCTTTTGTCTTTTCAATTTCCTTATTCCCCTTTCCTTGAATTCTACCGGTCTACTCTCATTCTCTTTAGTGACTTATTCCCTTCCCTTCTAAATCTTTTCCTCCCAAGCATCATGACACTGTTTATGTGTAAATTACTAAATATGTATAGGTCAATGTTCCGAGGTGTTATATAGTGCTACCAAGTCCCTAGCTACCCCCAAATACTTGAGACCATTCTCCTGTTAATATCCCTCGTCAGTAGAGTAACCTTCCAAGGTTGCCAAGAGATACCAACCTCAATACCATCACATCATTCGACCTAAATATAAGTCCCAAGACCAAACCACAGACCACTATATGCCATCAGAATCCGTACACAGTTTAGGAAATGAGTGAATCTGCATTAAAGTAAAACAAAACTCATCATCTCTAGTCATGGTCTCCTATCACAAAAGAGACACCCCAGAGACACACAAAAACAAATAAATTTATAGGAGTAAACTGTAACTCAGCAGTCAAACAGAACACGAATTAACATGAGCAGCATGAAAAAGCAAGGAAGAAAAGGAGTACAAACAATGCAGGACAGCCTAAATATACAGGAGGACCTAGAGGCATTAGAAAATGGTCAAATAAAGAACTCAAGGAATACCTTAGACAGATGGAATGGAATCTTAAAGAGGATATGAGACAGCAAATTGAAACAATGAAAGAACACATTGAAAATGAATTACATAAACAGATAAAAGAAGCAAATAAGCATCTTTATCAGGAGATAGAGATTATAAAAAAAAATCAAACAATAATTCTAGAAATGAAGGAAAGTATAAACCAAATTAAAAACTCAAATGAGAGTATCACTAACAGAGTAGAGCAAGTAGAAGCCAGAACATCAGATAATGAAGACAAAATATATCATCTTGAAAAGAGTCTAGCCAACTCAGAAAGGCTGGTAAAAAATCACGAGAAAAACATCCAAGAGATATGGGATAACATAAAAAAACAAACTTAAGAGTCATCAGGATAGAGGAAGGTATAGAGGTTCAAACCAAGGGAATGAGCAACCTGTTGAATGAAATAGTTACAGAAAACTTTCCAGATATAAAAAAGGAAACGGATGTACAAATTGTAGATGCATACAGGAGACTGAGCATACAAAATCACAGTAGACCAATGCCAAGACACATGGTTATGAAGATATGCAATATACAGAACAAAGAGAAAATATTAAAAGCTACAAGAGAAAGGAGGCAGATTACATTCAGAGGTAAACCAATAAGGTTAACAACGGATTTTTCGTCACAGACGCTGAAAGCGAGAAGATCTTGGAACAACGTATTTCAAACACTGAAAGACAATGGATGCCAACCAAGAATTTTGTATCCAGCAAAATTAAGCTTCAGGTATGACAATGAAATAAAAATCTTTCATGATAAACAAAAGTTAAAAGAATTTGCAGCCAGAAAACCAGCATTGCAAAGCATCTTGAGCAAAACACTACATGAGGAAGAAATGAAAAACAATAACCAAAACCAACAGTGGGAAGTACCTCAGTAAAGCCAGAGGACAGGGCGAAATCTATTCATGGAGAAACAAACCAAATTAAAAGAAAAGATAAATAATCAAACATGGCTGGAAGTACAAACCATATATCAATAGTACCTCTAAACGTTAATGGCTTAAACTCACCAATAAAGTGACATAGGCTGGTAACATGGATTAAAAAAAACAAATCCAACAATATGCTGCCTCTAGGAGACACATCTGATTGGAAAAGATATACACAGGCTGAAGGTGAAAGGTTGGGAAAAACATACCATGCACACGGTCATTGTAAGCAAGCAGGGATGGCCATCCTCATATCAAATAAAATCGACTTCAAGACTAAGTTAATCAAAAGAGATAAGGAAGGACATTATATACTGTTAAAAGGAACCATTCACCAACAAGACATAACAATTATCAATATTTATGCACCAAATAATGGTGCTGCAGCGTTCATAAAACAAACTCTCCTCAAGTTCAAGAATCAAACAGACCACAACACAATAATTATGGGTGACTTCAACACACCTCTCTCACCATTGGACAGATCCTCCAAACAAAAGTTGAATAAAGAAACTATAGAACTCAATAACACAATCAATAACCTAGACTTAACTGACATATATAGAATATATCAACCATCATCAAGTGGATATACTTTTTTCTCAGTAGCACATGGATCCTTCTCAAAAATAGACCATATATTATGCCATAGGGCAACCCTCAGTAAATATAAAGGGGTGGAGATAATACCATGCATTTTATCTGATCATAATGGAATGAAACTGGAAATTAATGATAAAAGAAGGAAGGAAAAATCCTACATCACATGGAAAATGAACAATATATTACTGAATGATCAATGGGTTACAGAAGACATAAAGGAGGAAATCAAAAAATTCTTAGAGATAAATGAAAATACAGACACAACATATCGGAATTTTTGGGACACAATGAAAGCAGTTTTAAGAGGGAAATTCATTGCCTGGAGGTCATTCCTCAAAAAAAGAAAAAACCAACAAATAAATGAGCTCACACTTCATCTCAAAGCCCTAGAAAAGGAAGAGCAAAACAACAGCACATGTAGCAGAAGGCAAGAAATACTTAAAATCAGAGCAGAAATCAACGAAATTGAAACAAAAGAAACTATTGAAAAAATTGACAAAACTAAAATTTGGTTCTTTGAAAAAATAAATAAGATCGACAGACCCTTAGCCATGCTAACGAAGAGAAGAGGGACAACTCAAATTACTAACATACGGGATGAAAAAGGCAATATCACAACAGATGCTACAGAAATACAGAAGACAATTAGAAATTATTTTGAAAACCTATATTCCAATAAAATAAAAGTTAGTGAAGACATCGATAAATTTCTTAAGTCATATGATTTGCCCAGACTGAGTCAGGAGGATACACACAATTTGAACAGACCAATATCAATGGATGAAATAGAACGAGCAATCAAAAGACTACCATCCAAGAAAAGCCCAGGACTGGATGGGAATACAGTGGAGTTTTACAAAACCTTTAAAGAAGAATTAATACCAATACTTTTCAAGTTATTTCAGGAAATAGAAAAAGAGGGAGCTCTTCCAAATTCATTCTATGAGGCCAACATAACCCTGATTCCAAAACCAGACAAAGACACCTCAAAGAAAAAAAAAAAAAACTACAGACCAATATCTCTAATGAACCTAGACGCAAAAATTCTCAATAAAATTCTGGAGAATCGGATACAAAAACACATCAAAAAATTGTGCACCATGATCAAGTAGGATTCATCCCTGGGATGCAAGGATGGTTCAATATACAGAAATCAATAAATGTTATTCACCACATCAATAGACTTAAAGATAAGAACCATATGATCATCTCGATAGACGCAGAAAAAGCATTCGACAAAGTACAGCATCACTTTATGTTCAAAACACTAGAAAAACTAGGGATAACAGGAACTTACCTCAACACTGTAAAAGCTACCTATGCTAAGCCTCAGGCTAACATCATTCTGAATGGAGAAAAATTGAAGGCATTCCCTCTAAAATCTGGAACAAGACAGGGATGCCCTCAATATAGTTCTCAAAACACTGGCCAGAGCAATTAGACAGACAAAAGAAATTAAAGGCATAAAAATAGGAAAAGAAGAACTTAAATTATCACTATTTGAGGAAGACATGATTCTACACCTAGGAGACCCAAAAGGGTCTACAAAGAAACTATGAGAACTAATAAATGAATTCAGCAAAGTGGCAGGATATAAAATCAACACGCATACATCAAAAGTGTTCCTGTATACCAGCGACAAAACTTCTGAAATGGAAATGAGGAAAGCACCCCATTCACAATATCCTCAAAAAAACAAACAAACAAACAAAAAAACTTGGGAATCAACTTAACAAAAACGTGAAAGATTTATACAATAGTCTCCCTGCTTCTACCACTATCTATTCTACACACCATCTATTCCACAGTTAGCTCACAAAGCAAATCATATCCCATCAATCCCAGCCAAGAATCTTTCTCTGACTTCCCATAACCCTGAAAGCAAATCCAGTTAGCAGCAAGCTCCACAGGGCCCTTCTCTAAACTGGCCTCTTACCCACTTCTCTGGCATACATCTGTAATCCCAGCTACTCCAGAGGCTGAGGCAGAAGAATGGTAAATTTGAGACCAATCTAGATAACTTATAAAGATCTGATCTCAAAATATAAATTTAAGAAAGGGGTAGATACAGCTCAATGGTAGAGTCAACCCCAGTACCAAATAAATTGTGGGGGCATAGTAAAAGTATACAGTTTATGCAAGAGATCAAATTTAAATTGTTATTAACTTAAAACAGCCTGCTCTAAAATTCTGTGTAAGCCCCATTCCTAACACAAAGCAAAACTCTTCATGGATACACAAAAGATTAAAAAATAAGTATTCAGGAAATACCACTAAGAATCATCAAACCACAAAGGCAACAAGAGAAAAGGAAAAGAACAAAGGATCTAAAAAATAACCAGAAAACAATTAACAAAATGGCAACAGTAAGTCTTTTACCAATAATAATCTTGAGTTTAAACGGATTTTCTCCAATCAGAAGACTGAGTGGGCCTGACATGGTGGCATATACCTGTAATCCCAGCAGCTCAGAAGGCTGAGAAAGGAGGATCACAAGTTCAAAGCCAGCCTCAGCAATGGCAAGGCACTAAGCAATTCAGTGACATGCTGTCTCTAAATAAAATACAAAACAGGGCTGGGGATGTGGCTCAGTGATTGAGTGCCTCTGAGTTCAATTCCTGGTACCAAAGAAAAAAGAAAAAAACAAAAACAACCGAAGATCTAATTATATGCTACCTATAAGAGACTTGTGTCCACTCTAAGAACACAGAGACTGAAAATGAAGAGATGGAAAGATACTCTCCATACGTGGTAACTATTAGAGGACAGGCATAGGCTTCTATCGGACAAAATAAACTGAGTCAAAAACTATGAAGAGAGGGCTGGGGATGTGGCTCAAGTGGTAGCATACTCGCCTGGAATGCGTGGGGCGCTGGGTTCAATCCTCAACACCACATAAAAATAAAAAATAAAGATACTGTGTCCACTTAAAACTAAATATTAAAAAAATGATTTTAAAAAAACTATAAAAAGAGGCAAAGAAAGTCATATCATGATAAAGGGGTCAATTCATCAAGAAGTTATAATAATTACAAATATACATGTACCAATATTAGAAAACCTAAATATATAAAGCAAATATCAATAAATCTAAAGGGAGGAACAGAATGCAATACAATAATAGGAGACTTTTTCTAAGGCAAGTTAAAAAAAAAGAAAGAAAAAAAAGAAACACTCGATTCAACAATTAGCACGGTGACGCAAACCATCATCTCTCCTGGATCACTGCCATTGCCTTTCACTAGTTTCCCCTTCTTTCTCCTTATTCTTTTACAATTCATTTTCAATGTTTCAGAGTGATCTTTTGGTAAGTGCTTAAAATCCACCAACTCACCTCACAGTGACTAATCATGCCTTACATGATCTGGCAGCCCTGCTCTCCTCCCCTTGTTCACTAACCTTGCTGTTCCTCAAATACAGGGACAATGTAATCTCAGGAATTTTGCTCTTGCCTTTGCCTAGAATGTTCTTTCTCCAAATATCCACTTAGTCTGCTTTCTTACCTCCTTTAGATTTTCCTTAAATGAACCTTCTCAGTTGGCACTTATGAAGATATTAAATTTTGGCTCATTTGTTATGCAACAAAAGCTAACTAATGCACAGTGCCAAGAAGTGAACTGTGGCAGACACCATAACACACTAGTCAGACCTCCTTCCAGGATGAAGAGCTTATAATTACCCTAGCTTCTGGAAATGTTGAAGGCAGACAACCTCAGCTGAAGAGATCCACCTTGGCAAGGCTGCATTCCACTTTCCTACAAATAAAGGTAGACTGTTGTTTCTATCTTTATTTCCTTGCTTGTTGAATCATAAATGTGTTTAAAACTAACCTCTTAGCTTTCCTTTGTTGCCACTTATTGTATGTAGAGTATACTAGGATTGGTTAAATTTCCTTTTTATTAATTTCACAGGTAGGCAGAATTACAAGAGGAGTAGCTATCACTAACACTCTAGACTTGGAGCTAAGTGCAATAAACTAGAATAGAGCATTACTCTCTTTTAGGCGAGAGTATGAATAAATTTTGTCTGTATACTGAACAATTTCACTGCGTTGGCAGGAACATTTTTTAAACTGCATGTATAAGAGAAAAGATGAGATTATATATTGAGCAGCTGTTATTACAAATAGCTATTATATGTTATTATATATTGCTATTTTTGCCTATCCAACTTCCATTTTTTCCTTTTTCTGTAACAGTCCCCAAATTTACCTTAGAGAAACAATAACTTGTCTTATATTCATGCAAATGCATTATCAACTAAGGTGTCCTTTCTTCTTTGGATGAAGGGTTCACATAAACATACTGGAAGTAATCAAGGCTCCCTCCTCCAGAAATTTTGTTACAAAAATATAGGTAAATGGGGACTGGGGTTATAGCTCAGTGGAAGAGCACTTGCCTAGCACTACATATAAATAAATAAAAAATAAAGGTCCATTGACAAATAAAAAATAAAAAAATAGGTAAATGGTTCATTAGTGACTGCTGTAGTTTCATCTTTTCTGAAGTATATTCATTTTAGTAAATTATTCCATAGCTTTTCTGAAACTGTTTTGCTAGCCAACAAAAGTACTCTACCTAGGATACCTAAACCATTATTTCTTCATTTGAAAAATGTGGATAATATTAACATTTGGGTGTGATGATTAAATGAGATATCCACTCACTCAAATATTTGAGTGTACCTACTGATCAGGCCTTGTAGAGATAAAGAAATAGAAGATGAAACCCCAAAACAGAAGAGGTGAAAGAATGGGGATTATGAGAGATTAAATGGAGACGTGTCCTGGACTTTCTGTGAAAACACAGTCTTTGACAGAAGAAATGCTTTCTCCATTGTATTAGACTGAACCATATGTAACCATTTTTCAACGATTTAGGCAACAATTTCATATAATTTAATCTAATAGTAGGAAGGAAGCATGAGAAATTATCTCCCAACACAGATTCATATAGATTTAGTGGTGGGAATTAGAAGCACTGTCTCCTTTGAATGTAAAATGCCTAGATTAAAAGACATTAAGTAATTTGTCTAGGTACAGATTACTCTTTGGTACAAATTCATAGAATCTACATCCCTAAGGAATTTTGTATGAAGCAGAAATATTCATATTTTTTGAACAGTCTTGGTCCTGACTAAAAAAGCAGATAGGGGAAGTATTAATTACTTTTCTAATTCATCTTCCTGTATAGTCTCTTCACAGTTTTATAGGTTGTACAGGAAGACAAATTAGAAGAGATGGTGTTTCTTTACCCTCAAAAAATACTTAAAGGATTAAGATAGTCTATCTAGAATCAGGATAAAAAGATAATCATCATGCTCAATTTTTAGAATAAACTAAAAATGAAAATCAAATAAATTATAAATCAAATGAATCCTGAGAGGAAGAACAAAGGTAAAGCCCCTAAAACAGTTTTTAAAATAGTGTTCTAAAATTCAAAATAATTGTTCTTAGGAATATTAACTATTGCCATATTTAAAGGCTGTTGCTATCTTAAACTAATACTAGTATTTTGTGAAGGTCTAAAGTAGAACTACTACTAGATTTCAGAACCAATTCTGCAGAATGGTCATGTTGGACTTGTGGCCTCAGCCTGGCTTGCCAGCCCTCTGAGAGACCTATTCAATCCACATCTTCTGCTGCCCTACTTTGCACTGCTAACAATGCCAGCACTCAGCTGTGAGGCCATCAGCACAACCCAAAATCTAGTAGTGTGTCCAGATGGCGGGACCTACTTTAAAGGAGGGTGGACAAAGTAAGTCTCTTGCATTTTCAGCTTCTGTAAAGGGAGGAATGGTGTGCCTTAAAACCAAAACTAAAAGCTCAGGAATTCCCCAGAGGAAGGAGGCTCAGATTCCCTCTCCCAACCCCCACACACAGGAGGAAGCTTTATTCTGCTGGACTTGGGAGAGGCAGACTCTCGGGAACCTTTACTTCAGTAAGCCCTCTTGGGCTTCTGCCTGTTCTCTCAATCTGCTTCAGCTCATCCTGCCTCCTCTTCTCTTTCATGGCTACCTGCTCCAATCCTCTTCTACCCAGAGTTTTAGGTAACTGTAGCACTTGGCTCAGATTCTTAATGTTTAATAAAACCAACAGGTTTTCACTATCATACTCAATATATTCAAATGATAAAATACAGGATGCTGAGAGGAAGCAAAATGGATTTTCCAAAGCATCATAAAATTCACAACTAGAGAGCATTATTTTCTAATTTTCAAAAGAATAAAAAAACTACAATCTTACCTTGTAATAACGAAAATAGTCTCGCTCTTGCAATTGTTTTATTTTGGGGAAGATTTTGTAGGTATTGAAATTGTCAATGCTGGTAATATCACATAGGCAATCGTCCAGAACTCCAACCACCTAAAATTTGCATATGTACATAAAAATTTAAATATGTAAATTACTGATATTTCAACCTTTATAGATTTGCTTTATTATATAAAAGATTGATGGTCAAAATGAAAAATAAGAATTCTCGGGGCTGGGGCTGTAGCTCAGTGGTAGAGTGCCTGCCTCACATGCGTGAGGCACTGGGTTCGATCCTCAGCACCACATAAAAACAAGTAAATAAAATAAAGGCATTGTGTCCAACTACACCTAAAAAATAAATAAATGGGGGCGGGGAGAATTCTCCTTCCTTTAGCTACACACACATAAAATCCAAGTAGCCACTGAAATCTAAAGCAATCTCTTCCCAGACTGGCCCAGAGGTCACAGACTATAACAACACTGCTGCATCTTAAGGTCATTTTCTTTCTGTTGTTGTTGTAGAATGCCTTTACTTTGTTTTCATGTGGTGCTAAGGATTGAACCTAATGCCTCACACATGTTAGGCAAGCATTCTTCCACTGAGCTACAGCCCAGCCCGCCTAGGGTCCTTTTAAATTTCAATACAGGGTCTCACTAAGTTACTAAGGCTGACCTAGAACTTGAGATCCTCCTGCCTCAGACTACAGACTCACCTGATTACAGGCATGAACCATTTCCCTGGGCTCACAGTATTCTTTAATATGCCTCTTCATTTACTTTTAAAAGTATCCTATACATAAGGTACTATTAGCCTCATTTTACATAAAAGGAAATTAAACTTTGGCAAGCCTAATTTTTCCAAAGTAAAAATGAAACTTATCCCCAAATCCACACCAGACTTTAAAACTCATGCTCCTGTCCACTACTCAAAGTATCCATTAAGCCAAGAAGAAAATTTGGTATTTACAAAGTGAATTTAAAATTCAAAAATTCCATAATCATTATTCACTAAGTTAAAAATGAGACCGACCGACTGATATGCGACTTTGATGAATCTTCCAGGAATTATCCCAAGTAAAAAAGTCAATCCCCAAAGTTTACAAACTGTATGACTCCATTTACAGAATATTATTGAAATGAAAAATTTTTAGGAATGCAGAAAAGATTTTGGTTGCCAGGCTTTAAGGACTATAGTAGAAGACAGAAGTGGGAGTGGGGAGTCAGATGAGGTTGAAGCAGACAAAAAAAAACAACAGGAAGGACTTCTAAAAGTGTTAAGGAAATCATTGAGTATTTTTCATTGTGGTGGTAGATACTCAAAGCTACAGGTGATAAAGTTGTACAGAACACACACAAATCAGACAAGTAAAACTGGAGGAATCTGGGCTGGGGATGTGGCTCAAGCGGTAGCGCGCTCGCCTGGCATGCATGTGGCCCGGGTTCGATCCTCAACACCACATACAAACAAAGATGTTGTGTCCACCGATAACTAAAAAATAAATATTAAAAAAAAAAATTCTCTCTTTCTCTCTCTCTCCCTCTCTTTGAAAAAAAAAATTATTAAAAAAAAAAAACTGGAGGAATCTGAATAAAGTCTACAGATTCTATTACTAACATGTCCTCTTTATGATACCAGATATGTTCACAAGCTGTTACCAGGGGGATAACTGCATAAAAAGGACATGGCATTTCTCTGATTTTTTTATTTTTTATTTTTTTAGTATTTATTTTTTTAGTTGTAGTTGGACACAATACCTTTTTTCCATTCATTTATTTTTATGTGGTGCTGAGGATGGAACCCAGGGTCCTGCGCATGCTGGCGAGTGCTCTACCGCTGAGTCACAATCCCAGCCACTGATTATTTTTTTAAATTGTATATGAACTTACAACTATTTCCTTTCAAATTTTCAACTGAGAACAAAAATGGGCCCCAGGCTGCTACAGGCTATTTAGTGATCCAGGAGTGGAAACTAGCCCTTGCTAGTTATATCTTTCTTCCGAGGAGTGTAAAGGTGACCCAAACTCCCTACAACATAAAGTTAAGAGCTATATTATCTTGAGATAAGGAATAAGGGATCATTATCAAGAATTTGGTTCTGGAGTTCTATCTGCTTTGTTTCATTTCATTGTTCCCACTACTTACAAGACTTCAAATTCTAGCCTGATAACAATGGGGTGAGGGAATCAAAATGCAAACCAAAATACTTTCTAGATTTTAAAATATTTTATCTAGTAATCACTATTTCCCTTTCTAATATTTTTTTAGTTGTAGATGGATACATTTATTTGTCTTTATGTGTTGAGGATCAAACCCAGTGCCTCACACATGCTAGGCAAGCACTCTAAAACTGAGCTACAACCCCAGCCCAGTAATCACTATTTCTTATGCATTTTTCTGTTCACTTTGTTCAATTTAGGAGGCTGAGGCAGGAGGATAGCTTGAGCCTAGGAGTTCAGTGGCAGTATAACCATCTCTTAAAAAAAAAAAAAAAGAAAAGAAAAGAAAAAAACACTGCTTTATGTTTCCCTGTAAAACAATGTATTTAAGAATTTTCCCCCATTTTTGAACTTTAATGTTAATGAAATATGTGAATTCTTCTGTAATGTACTTCTGTTGCTAACATTTTATTTCGACATCTGTCCATAATGATTCGTTTTACAGTAGTACATTCATTTTTCCAGTTAAAAGTATTGTATTATATGAAAATAATCACAATTTATTCATTCTATTATTGATTTATAGAGTAGGCAGAATGACCCTCCCAAAGATATCCATGCCCTAATTTCTGCAGCTTTGTAATGTTATTTCACATTACAAAAGGGACTTTAAAGACATAATTAAGAATCTTGAGATGGGAAGACTATATAGATTATTCAGTACAACAGTTACAAACTTCCTTATAAAAGAAGAGTTAGAGAAGATGCTGCATTGTTGGCTTTGAAGATAGAGGAAGAAGTCACAAACCAAAGATTACAGAAGCCTCTAGAAGACTGGATGCCCCCCCACCAGAGCCTCCAGAAGGAATGCGACCTTGCTGATATCTTGATTTTTAACCCTGTAAAACCATTTTCAGATTTCTAACCCCCAAAAGTAGGAGATAATAAATTTATGTTGTTTTAGGTCAGTAAGTTTGTGTTGATTTTTAGCAACAATAAGAAAATAATACAACATACTTAGGATCTACAAATGCTATACAAATATTTTTGTATATGTATGGTGGTATACACATGCAGGAGTTTGTCCACGTTGTATTGATTAGGAATAGAGTGCAATAAGTACATTTCAGCTGTACTAGGGAATAACAGGCTGATTTCCAAAACAGTTCTAACAATTTATTATGTCACCATCAATGGACTGGGGTTAATGGTAAGCCATATCATAGTATTTGATATTAATCTATTCTTTAATTTTTGCCAATCTAATAATGTGGAATGGTATCTGGTTTATGTTTGTTTGCACTAATGAGGCACTATGTTCATGTTTTAGGAGACATTTGTATTTATTATTGTGTGCAATGTCTATCTTTAGTTCACTTGTCCTTTTCATACTGACCTACTACAAGGAATCGATATAAATTTTTTCCTATTCTCTTAGACCTTCTTCCTCTATCCTATTATGTCTCTGGAGTTCTCTTTAATATTTATTATCCTGTTGTCTCTTGCGATTTCCTTGTGAGTAATTTATTTGCATTTACCTTCCACTTATTCATTTACTTATTCAATAAATTTACTAACAAACTTTGTATCATTCTACATGCTGAGAATATGGATTTAGAAAAAAACTAAAAATCTCTGCCCTTGAGGAGCTTATATTCTATAAGAGAACTGGAGAAAATAAAGTACAATGTCTGACATGTAGTAATGAATAGGGGATGGGAACAGGGATTGCAGAACTGGAGCTACTATGATTTTAGACAGCCACATGAAGGAATTTTGGTAAACCCTGAAGGAGGGAAAGGAGCAAGAATGAAAATATATGAAGAAAAAGCATTACAATAAATTATTAGAAATATTAAGTGCAAAGGTACTGAGACAGTAAGCCTGCCCAAAGTTTCTAAGGAACAAGGAGTACCATGCAATTAACTAAAAAGAGAATTAGGAGACCACTATAAGACTTTAGTTTACTGAGCCTAGGGTGTTTGCTCACACCAACCAAGTCTCCAGATCTAAGAGACTGATTAGGTATCCAACAATTCAATTCTGATACTAAATATCCAGAATCAGTGCCAACTCTAATTAGTTAAGGTGCAAGTCCCAAAAGACTGCCCCAACTTCAAACCAATCTCAAACCCTGGGTCACTTGTTCTTCTAACTGACTGACTATAAATCTGGGTCCCAGGATCCCCTTTTTCAGGTCCAGTAATTTGTTAGAATGATTCATAGAACTCAGAAAAGCACTTTAATTACCTTTTAATCAATTTATTATGAAGGAAACAACTCAGAAACAACCAAATGGGAGAGTATTAGTGGGAGATGGTTTGAGCTTCTATGCCCTCTCCTCATCACCCTCCCAGTACGTCAGTGTTTTCATATCCCACAAGTTCATCAACTCTTAACAGCTCCAGAGTTGAATCACTTGTCTTTCTGGTGATCATGCTCATCATGAGGCTAAATATGGGCTTCACCCTAAGTCACCTCATTAGCATAAACTCAGGTATGATTGAAAAGGACTCATTGTGAACAATAAATTATCACTTAATACTTTCATCACTTAGAAAATTCCAAGCATTTTAGGAGCTCTGTGCCAGCAATCAAACAAAAACCAAATGTATGTTCACAATATACCACACTGAGTGAGGCAGGAAGCTACTGGAGAGTCTTAAGCAAAGGGTAAAAGTAATATGGACTATCAGCTGAGGAAAGAGGGATTTTCTTGTATATACTATGATCAGAGATGGGGACATTTTAGATAAGGGGACATGTCAGATAAAGTGACACTTCAGCAGAAACTAAGATATGAAGAGATGGGTGAACTGTATGAACACATAAGTGTGTTAGGTAGAACAGTACAAATACCATGAAGGAAGAAAACACTTGCGTTGGTCAAATTATACAGTTATACTGTGCACATAAATAATAAACAAACATACTTGCAATGTTTGAAGAACAAG